ATCCCTAGAGACAGTGAACAGTCCTTGAGCTTGATTTTTTTTTTTTTTTAGTTTTATTAGAGGAATTGAACTTGTATGGGGTAAGGGTATATGGGATGCCCAATGGAACTGCGCAAACCGAGGACAACTTCCTGGCAACTATATACAAGTCTTTACACAGTAACCTCTTCTTGGAGAGCTCTCCAGCCTCTCCTGGTGTTCCACTCCAGACCCGTAGATAAATCCTCTTTTTTACTCACCTGTCTGGAGAATCCCTGGGCAAGGGGTTCCAGTGCCTGCCAATTCAAGATGAATAGTAAGGAGTAATCAAGTTTCCCACGGAATGCTCCTTTTCCCCTTAGCTGGCCCAGTGGGGTGTAGGATTACTCACTGTCTTTTATTCTGTGAGCTGGTTTCGGTTAGGCGGCTGCCTTCAGGCTTGTCTGCTGGCTGGGCTGGTTTTCTTTCCTGGCTTCCACCGGGGGTCCTCCTCTTCAGGGACTGGTGATGCTGAGTGATCCTCCTGTCCAGGTCCCAGCCTGTAGGTAGGCCTCTTCCCACTGGCCCCGTCCCAGGGCAGAATCCTCTGAATGTGCAGGCCATCCCCTCCTCACCCCCGCCCACTGCTTCTAGAATCTTCTCCAAGATTCTAGAGCAGGGGAGGTATCAGGGGAACAACTTTGACCCTGCTGACTATATTCCCCAGGCTGCTGTTCAGCCTCCCTATATAAAAATTAGCAACTAGCTCCCCTGGCTATCTAGAGCGGCTCTACATATCATTAAAGTTTTTGAAACATCTGACAATTAGTTTATGGCACTCTCTTTAGACTACGTATATGTACATGATGCCATAAGGTTTTTTGTTCTCACCCAGCAGTGGGTAGGCCTCAATGATGCAGAGAGCGCCGTTGTTGGGGGTCAGGGACAGGCATATAATGCTCTACATTCATCTTCTGGCAAAAAGAGAGTACTTTTTTCAAAATCTGTGGGGGGCACATTAAAAAATTCAGGACAGAGTGTACGCTTTAAAGAAATAGAAAAAATATATAATAAATATATAGTTGTATTGTCAAATGATTTGCCCTCGTCCCGCCACGCACAGAAAATGTATCCTCCCCGCATACCCTGCAGATAATAGCTATACGCAATTATTGACTGGATCCCAACGTTTCGCTCTGGCTTTATTCTCAGGGAAGAGGTTGGGAAAGGCTCCTCCACCAAACCTATTGAATGGGGAAATAAAATATGATGTAAAACTGGATGATTCAGAACATGACAGCCTGTGCTTGAGTGATCCAACATTCTGCATATGCTTAGTACAAGTGACATTTGTAATATCTCTATGGATTGTTATTCACAGTTCCTACTTACTTTGACAGATCATATCTGAAACTCACCGGAGCAAGGAGAGGAGAAGGGAGGATTTCAGACACATTGCCATATAACACAGAGGAGAAGTAGAAGTGTATGGGGGGGGGGGGGGGGCGCGCGAAATCAGGAGTCAGGAGCCTTAAGCAGGATTTGACATTGTTTGGACAGGTTAAGGCTGATCATGCAAACTCCTATAGAGCGGATTTTGTATGTCACTTCATTCTTTCATGAGCGCTGCAGAGCTGGGCTTACAGAGCCACGAGTCGCAAAAAAAACAAAAAATTTGGCAGAGCCAAGTCTTTAGTCTCTTTTCTAACGGTAATTAAAGGGTTTGTTCGATTCCCCATCTTGAATCTCTTGATATTGGAAATATAAAAGACTATATAATGCAGAATATTTTTGTTTTTTTAATCCTAGTTCCCATTACTGGTTTACTCATATTTCCTGACTGATGGGTGAGCCAAGAGCTTGAGCAATGCAAGAGCTGAAAATAAAAAAACAAAAACCTGTGATATTAGTGATATTAGAGTAGTACCCTATATACAACAACAACAACTATAAAATAAATTAAATATATCTGTAAAAATAAGCCAAATAAATCAGGGAAGCAGCTGTCCACCCCAACTGTGCAATCACTCCACTGTGTTAATGAATCTATATCAAATACTGATGAAGCGCTTCCAATATGACATAACAAATCAAATATCATATGTCCTCATGCCATAACTCCTTTATCATAAACAGATCCCCCTAGTATTCAGTATCATTTTGTAAGTGTGCAAAAAAATACATATATAGCTCCTAGGGCTAAAAAAAACAAAAAAAAGCCTCTTTTGTATACTGTTTAAAATTAATAAAAAACATTGAAATACAAAAAAAAAAATATGTGGTCCGATGTAAGAGTCCCACATACACACCAATCTTTGTGCAATCCTCAATCGATATATATCAGTTCTTGTCAGAACAGCAACATGACTTCCTTCAGCGTGAATAAACACCACTGTGTCCTCTATGACACCTCTATGGGTACAACCTCATCACCTAATATCATGGAGCCTTTGAGAAAGCCTAACGCGTCAGGCGGGCAGTGAGCTCATCATGCTGAATGAAGCATTTTGGAAAGTCGAGTATACTAGCTGGGGGGGGGGGGGGGGTAGCCCTGTTGCATGTCTCTTTTTTTAAGTTTGAGTAGAACTTTAACTTTCTTATGGATATAAACTAGCTATCTGCACTGTTGGGTGTTTCTTTGCTTCCTTTTAATATAAGACAGTGGGGCAAAAAAGTATTTAGTCAGCCACCAATTGTGCAAGTTCTCCCACTTAAAAAGATGAGAGAGGCCTGTAATTGGTATCATAGGTAGACCTCAACTATGAGAGACAAATGAGAAAACAAATCCAGACAATCAACATTGGGCTGATTTGGAAAGAATTTATTTGCAAAATATGGTGGAAAATAAGTTATTTTGGTCACCTACAAACACAGCAAGATTTTCTGGCTCTCACAGAGACCTGTTACCTTCTTCTTTAATGAGGCTCCTCTGTCCTGCACTCATTACCTGTATCAATGGCACCTGTTTGACTACTTGTTATCACAGTATAAAAGACACCCTGTCCACAAACTCAAACAGTCACACTCCAAACTCCACTATGGTGAAGACCAGAGAGCTGTCGAAGGACACCAGAAAAAAAAATTGTAGACCTGCACCAGGCTGGGGAGACTGAATCTGCAATAGGCAAGCAGCTTGGTGTGAACAAATCAACTGTGGAGAGCAATAATTAGAAAATGGAAGACATACAAGACCACTGATAATCTCCCTCGATCTGGGGCTCCACGCAAGATCTCACCCTGTGGGGTCAAATAGATCACAAGAACGGTGAGCAAAATCCCAGGACCACACGGGGGGACCTAGTGAATGACCTGCAGAGCGCTGGGACTAACGTAACAAAGGCTACCATCAGTAACACACTACGCCGCCAGGACTGAGATCCTGCCGTGCCAGACGTGTGCCCCTGCTTAAGCCAGTACATGTCCGGGCCCATCTGAAGTTTGCTAGAGAGCATTTGGATGATCCAGAAAGAGGATTGGGAGAATGTCATTTGGTCAGATGAAACCAAAATAGAACTTTTTGGTAGAAACACATCTCGTCATGTTTGGAGGAGAGAGAATGCTGAGTTGCATCCAAAGAACACCATACCTACTGTGAAGCATGGGGGTGGCAACATCATGCTTTGGGGCTGTTTCTCCGCAAAGGGACCAGGATGACTGATCCATGTACAGGACAGAATGAATGGGGCCATATATCCTGAGATTTTGAGTGCAAACCTCCTTCCATCAGCAAGGGTATTGAAGATGAAACGTGGCTGGGTCTTCCAACTTGACAATGATCCCAAACATACCGCCCGGGCAACGAAGGAGTGGCTTCGTAACAAGCATTTCAAGGTCCTAGAGTGGCCTAGCCAGTCTCCAGATCTCAACCCCATAGAAAACCTTTGGAGGGAGTTGAAAGTCCGTGTTGCCCAGCGACAGCCCCAAAACATCACTGCTCTAGAGGAGATCTGCATGGAGGGAATGGGCCAACATACCAGCAACAATGTGTGCCAACCTTGTGAAGACTTACAGGAAACGTTTGAACTTTTGATATTGACCAACTAACTTATTTTCCACCATAATTTGCATATAAATTCTTTCCAAATCAGCCAATGTGATTGTCTGGATTTTTTTTTCTCATTTTGTCTCTCATAGTTTGAGGTCTACCTATGATGCCAATTACAGGCCTCTCTCATCTTTTAAGTGGAGAACTTGCACAATTGGTGGCTGACTAAATACTTTTTTGCCCCCACTGCATCTATTCCTGGGAGATTGATAATGACCATGTGAAAGCTGAAGAGGATCGTGGTCTCAAGTATAAAAGAAAAGCACAAGTAAACCCTCCTTTACAATGGGGTCCATGATATAAGGTGAGGAGATACCCATGAGGTGTCATGAAGGGAACGGATATGCAAACTCTGCACAAGTAGTATCATAGTGTCAGGGCTCCCAGGTGTGACCAGAGGTGTGTGGCTGACGCAGGGAAACGCAGACCTCAGATATGTTATAAACAATATAATTTATTAACACTAACAATACAAACATAAACGCAGTGCAATACTAAAACATAATACAGTGCAACCAAACCAAGCAGCGTAGTACAGAGGGTCAGGCAGAGGGATGGTCAGGGTCACAAGCCAGGGATCAGAACAGGTAGCAAGCAGCATGGTACAGAGGGTCAGGCAGAGGGATGGTCAGGAGCGAGCCGGGATCAGAGCAGGAGAAGTCAGCAGCGGTTCAGAAACAGGATGCAGGACAGAAACAGGATACAGGGCCCAGGACAAACACAACACCAAGGCAGAGTCTGCAAGTCTGGCCATCCCTTAAATACCCCAGCATAATCAGTTCCAGGTGTTAGCTGGCTGCAAAGTTGAGTCTCTGATTGCTGGGAGCACCCGCTGGCCAGCCCTGGTACTGCAGATCAAAAGGCAGGTGAGTCCCACCATTGCTGGCCAGTCCATTCCTGACAGTACCCCCCCCCCCTCAAGGAGCGGCCTCAGGACGCTCCAAACAGTCCTAGCTGGGAAAAATTCCACCGCCCGGGTCTGGTAACTGGCGGGATATCAAAGACTGGCACACCGGGCAGGACTCCGGGCAGCGGTACACCGGGCAGAGGCACATCGGGCTGGACTCCGGGCAGAGGCACACCGGGCAGAGGCACACCGGGCAGAGGCACATCGGGCTGGACTCCGGGCAGAGGCACATCGGGCTGGACTCCGGGCAGAGGCACATCGGGCTGGACTCCGGGCAGAGGCACATCGGGCAGGACTCCGGCAGAGGCACATCGGGCAGGACTCCGGGCAGAGGCACATCGGGCAGGACTCCGGGCAGAGGCACATCGGGCAGGACTCCGGGCAGAGGCACATCGGGCAGGACTCCGGGCAGCGGCACATCGGGCAGGACCCCGGGCGGAGCGCAGGCACCGGGCCCCGGGCGGAGCGGCAGGCACCGGGCCCCCGGCGGGCGACAGGCACCGGGCCCCCGGGCGGGGCGACAGGCAGGCGGCCCCCCGGGCGGGCGACAGGCACCGGGCCCCCGGGCGGGGCGGCAGGCACCGGGCCCCCAGGGGCGGGCGACAGGCACCGGGCCCCCGGGCGGGGCGACAGGCGCTCGGGCCCCCAGGCGGGGCGACAGGCGGGCGCCGGGCCCCCAGGCGGGGCGACAGGTCTCGGGGCCCTCAGGCGGAGCGGCGGGCGCCGGACCCCCAGATGGAGCGACAGGTCTCGGGCCCTCAGGCGGAGCGGCGGGCGCCGGCCCCCAGATGGAGCGACAGGTCTCGGGCCCCCAGGCGGAGCGACAGGTCTCGGGCCCCCAGGCGGAGCGGCGGGCGCCGGACCCCCAGGCGGAGCGACAGGTCTCGGGCCCTCAGGCGGAGCGGGGGCGCGGACCCCCAGGTGGAGCGACAGGTCTCGGGCCCCCAGGCGGAGCGGACGGGCGCTCGGGCCCCCAGGCGGGGCGACGGGCTCGGGCCCCAGGCGGAGCGGGCGGGTCCCCCAGGCGGGCCAGGTCTCGGGAGCGGAGCGGCGGGCGCCGACCCCCAGGCGGAGCGACAGGTCTCGGGCCCTCAGGCGGAGCGGGCGGGCCGGACCCCCAGAGGAGCGACAGGTCTCGGCCCTCAGGCAGAGCGGCGGGCGCGGGCCCTCAGGCGGAGCGACAGGTCTCGGGCCCCAGGCGAAGCGGCGGGCACCGAGTCACCAGGCACGACAGTGGGCACCGAGTCGTCTGGCAAGACTGCGGGCACCGAGTCAACTGGCGGAACAGCGGGCACCGAGTCGTCTGGCGGAAGACTGCGGGCACCGAGTCAACTGGCGGCAGACTGCGGGCACTGGCGAGCGGGCACCGAGTCGTCTGGCAACAGACTGCGGGCACCGAGTCGTCTGGCAAGACTGCGGGCACCGAGTCGTCTGGCAAGACTGCGGGCACCGAGTCGTCTGGCAAGGCTGCGGGCACCGAGTCGTCTGGCAAGACTGCGGGCACCGAGTCGTCTGGCAAGACTGCGGGCACCGAGTCGTCTGGCGGACAGCGGGCACCGAGTCAACTGGCAAGACTGCGGGCACCGAGTCGTCTGGCAAGACTGCGGGGCACCGAGTCGTCTGGCAAGACTGCGGGGCACCGAGTCGTCTGGCAAGACAGCGGGCACCGAGTCGTCTGGCAACACAGCGGGCACCGAGTCGTCTGGCAAGACTGCGGGCACCGAGTCAACTGGCACGACAGCGGGCACCGAGTCATCAGGTATCGGATTGTCTGGCAAGACAGCGGGCATCGGGTCACCAGGTATGACAGCGGGCACGGGTCACCAGGTATGACAGGGGCATCAGGTCATCATTGGCTTGCCAGCGGGCACCGCGTCATCTGGCAAGGCAGTGGGCACCGGGTCACCAGGTATGACAGCGGGCTCTGAGTCAATTGGCACGACACAGGGCACTGGATCAGGTACCGGGCATTCAGGCTCAACAGCGGGCATCGAGGCATCAGGCCAGGGCATCAGGCTGATCCATCATGCTGAGTAGAGCGGGCATCAGGCTGGCCTAATAGGATCGTCATCAGGCTGAGTCAGTTCATCAGGCTGAGTAGGCATCAGGCTGAAGAGAGGCATCAGGCTGAGTAGAGGCATCAGGCTGAGTAGAGGCATCAGGCTGAGTAGAGAGGCATCAGGCTGAAGAGAGGCATCAGGCTGAAGAGCTAGGCTAGGCATCAGGCTGAGTAGAGGCATCAGGCTGAGTCAGGCTGAGTAGAGGCTTCAGGCTGAGTAGAGGCTTCAGGCTGAGTAGAGGCTTCAGGCTGAGTCACGGAAGGCAGGTTCACCGGTTTGGATACTGGCAGGATGGTATTGGTTGGAAAGAATTTTCGCTTTTTTCTGGTTTTAACTACTGGAGCACTGCAAGTAAACGCAGGTCTGCAAACGAATGGAGCAGCTGGAGACAGAGAAAAACTGGAGGATGGAACAGGAGAGGGAGCAGTTGCTACAGAGGGCTTTTTTACAGGGTTAAAGGCAGGATAGGTGCAGCGAGTGGGAACAGGGTACTGACATGCGGTAGATAGCCAAGTATACTGGGCTGTAACTGGAGGAGCTGGTGGGAATACAGGAGTAGAGTTAGAAGCAGGACTGGGTTTTTGTAAGCTGACTGAGGCTGGGTGCAACAAGTCTGTCCATGTCTGCAGTATGGGTTGAACAAAGCTGAGCTTACACAAAGCCTGTCTGGTCAATGACTGCACTGCGTTTATACAATCTTAGTGTCTGTGGTGAAACATGTGGAATAACGCTCCAGAAAGTAACCCACATCATCCTCTAATAACCACACCAGGGACTCTACCTGGTCTGCACTAAATGGTGGCAAAAATTCATCCCTGCATTCGGGGGAACCAGATGAAACCAACTCAGCACAAACCTCAATCAAAGGCTGCACCTCAGAGAACTCTGTGCCCTGATCTACTAGAACATGAGCGAGCCGTATACATTCTAGTAGTTCATCCCGGGATACTCCTTCAGAGTTTGATAAGCATACTCCCTGTCATCAAACACTAGCAGATATAAATACACAACCTCATCCAGATCCATCCTTCCCATCAACAAGCCAAGATGGCTTCCCTGTGCAGCCACTTCTGGTCAGGATTGGCCTTGGTGTAATGTCAGGGCTCCCAGGTGTGACCAGAGGTGTGTGACTGACGCAGGGAAACGCAGACCTCAGATATGTTATAAACAATATAATTTATAAACACTAACAATACAAACATAAACGCAGTGCAATACTAAAACATAATACAGTGCAAACAAACCAAACCAACCAACCCCACAGATAACAGTACAAAGCAAGCGTCGTCAGGCAGGCCGGGTCAATATCAATAGGGCAGGTAGGTACAGGGGGAGCAAGCGGAGATTGGTCGGGGTCACAGGCCAGGTTCAGCAGGTAGCAAGCAGCGTAGTACAGAGGGTCAGGCAGAGGATGGTCAGGGTCACAAGCCAGGGATCAGAACAGGTAGCAAGCAGCGTGGTACAGAGGGTCAGGCAGAGGGATGGTCAGAGCGAGCCAGGGATCAGAGCAGGAGAGGAGTCAGCAGAGAATCAGAAACAGGAACAGGACAGAAACAGGATACAGGGCCCAGGACAAACACAACACCAAGGCAGAGTCTGTGCAAGTCTGGCCATCCCTTAAATACCCCAGCAGCATAATCAGTTCCAGGTGTTAGCTGGCTGCAAAGTTGAGAGTCTCTGATTGCTGGGAGCACCCGCTGGCCAGCCCTGGTACTGCAGATCACAAGGCAGCTGAGTCCCACCATTATTGGTGAATTCATTCCTGAGAGAGGGTGTGTTGCACTTGTCTGCTGAGCTCCAGAAAGGCCCGAGAAGCCTGGGGCTAAAGTGCCCTGCCCAGCCCAGGCAGGATGGCGGATCCTGGGCCTGGGTCCAGCGGGGAGAAGGCCCTGGAGGGGCCTAGTACCGGCCTCTCTTTTCCACCAGTAGAGGACCTGGGAATGGCCCCTAGGAAGGGGGAAGTTTATTCTGCCTACCGGGACCGTGTGGCCGCTCGGGCCAGGTTAATAGAGAAGGAGGAAGCCAAGCTCCAGAAGCTGACTCTGGAGCTAAAGAAGCTCCGGTCATCCTACGACCGTGTATGGTCTACTAAGCGGCAGGCCATGAAACCGGACCTGGAGGCGCTGGAACTTCGTGTGTCACAGCAGGGGAGGTATGTGGCGGCGCTGCAGCGCCAGAGCGGCGTCCTAAGCGAGAAGTATCTGAATGAAGAGATTTAAGGCTGCAAGAAGCCGCAGTGTTGCGGCGATGCGGGGTCCGGTGGAGGAGGCCTCTTCGGTGGAGGAATTGTCGGGGGAGTTGCTGGTGGAAGGCGAGCAGGGGCAGGTTGAGCCCACAGCACCCTCAGAGGAAATGGCGTCTATCATGGAAGACAGCGTGGTGGCAGGATCATCAGAGTCCCTCCCCCCTGGGCAGCTGCCTGTGGATTGGGGGACCCAGGTGGAGGAGGAGGAGATAGTGGGCGGATTGCAGTTCCTGGCAGAGGCGGTTGCAGAGCTGCGTGGAGCCGACTTCAGGTTTACGTCCGAGGACTCAGAGGAAGAAGCTGAAAGTGATGTCATCCCCCGCAAGCCGGCTAAGCCGGTGGTGAAAGAGCATGCTGCCTTTGTCATGCTGCAACGCATCCCCAAGGACGTGTTGGCAAAGGCAGGGGAGCCACTGGAAGGGGAGAAGGACTCTGCTGATTGTGTTGGTGAGATGGTTCTGGACACTGGGGTAGCGGGTATAATGCCTGCAAAATTGTCTGAGCTGCAGGTTAGCCCTACAGTCCTGGCTAAGGGTGTTTCCCCTCCGGTGGTGGTCCCACTGGGCCCCGCCCCTTTGGGGGGCATGGTGGCCTCTGGTGTGCAACCAGCAGGTCCCCCGGTTTCTCCTCAGGGGGCTCCAGGTTCTCAGGTCCAGGCTCCTGCGGGTCCGGCTCAGGTGGGTTCTCCTGCTGGTATGGGTGGTCCCCAGCCCCGGGCCCCCAGGTCATGGCTCATCAGCATCTGCCCCTTCAGTTGCTGCTGCTGGTGTGGCGGCTTCCCCTGGTCATGCCCCCTTGATGTTGAGTGCCCCTGGGGCTGGATCGGGGCTCAGTTACTCTGCTGCAGTTAGGGGAGGTCAGGGGTCAGTGGGATCGGCCCGGGCAAGGGCAGGTAACCTACCCACTTCCGCCGCAAGGCGAAATGTTGTTCAGCTGAAATGGTCAGGGGAGGGCCCCCCCCTTAGCAGGAGAGAGGTCATAGACCGCATATTAGAAATGGGCTTCCATGCCGCAGATATTTTTGCGTTTATTGCTCCAGTTGGTACTGGAGAATATGACGTGTCCTTCATGCGGCCAGAATTGTTGGACCTCTTTTGGCAGAGGTATGAGGCCACCTTTGTCACCAGCCCTAGGTGGGTGGGCCTAACCCCGAGGCTCGTCTCTCGCCAGTCCCTGATTAAAAAAATAACGGTGCTGGTGAGAAATGAATCCATCCCTGCATCAGATATTGTGGTCTGGCTAAGCAGATATGGGGATGTGATGGGGCCCCTTGGGAAGATCAAGGATGAGAGGGGAATATGGACAGGTGGGTGGACGACCACCGTCCGCTTAAAGGTGGTTGGAAATGTGCTCCAGCACATTCCCTCTTCCGCTTTTCTAGGGAAGGACCGCCTGATAATTTTTTATGCGGGTCAGCCGAGGGTCTGCCACCGGTGTGGGGGGGCAAGGGGCATTTTGCGGCCACCTGCCCCGTCATTAGATGTTCCCTGTGTCAGGAAATAGGACACCTGGCCAGGGACTGCAATGTTGTCCGATGCAATCTCTGCGGGGAGCTTGGGCATTCATACAACCAGTGCCCGGAGGCCCTCCACAACCTTCCGGTGGGGGAGCTTGAAGCAGAGTTGGATCGGGTAGATGCTGAAGAGGCGGAGGCGGCATTGGAGAGAGCGGCTTCGGTTGCTGTGGCGGCCCTTGTGAGGGAAGGGGAGGTTTCTGTGGCCCCTCCTGTCTCTGTCCCCCCTGTTTCGTCTACCCCTTTGGAGTCCCCTGTTGTTCCCCTTGTGTGCCGGTTCCTCCTCCCAGGACTAAGAAACAGCTGAGGGAGGCTGCTAAAGGGGCCGGGATGGTTGAGGCTAGGTCTAGTCCCTCAGTGTCTGCTCCCCCCTTGCTCTTGCCGCTGCGGCGGAGTAGTAGGAGGCCCGGTAGGGAGTCCCGTGAGTCCCAAGGTTCTGCTCCGGTAGGGGCTCAGGTGGAGGAGGGGTGGTCCCTGGTGGGTAGGCGGAGTAAGCCAGTTTTGTCCTCAGCAGGGTCGGTGTCCTCTTTAGAGGCGGGGGAGGTGGCCCTGGGGAATAGGTTTGGGGCTTTGTCGGGGGAGGAGGAGGGGTCAAGTGATCCCGCTTCCCCGATGGAGGACGAGGATGCTGGGGGGTCTCTTAAGAGAGTGAGGGACCCTGCCAAGAAAGTCAAGAGGAGGATTAAGAAACGTCCCTCTCAATTATCTTAATGGCAGTTCCCGCTCCGATAAAGGTGGCAACCATTAATGTTGCCAGCATAAAGTCTGTAAGTGCTAGAGAAACAGCCTTATTTTTGATCAGTGGATGGAAGCTGATATTTTCTTTTTGCAGGAGACCAGGTTGCCCACCTTGGCTGATGTCCATCTGGCCAAGCGTGAGTGGAGGCGTGGGCCCTCCTACTGGTCTCTTGCGGCTGAGCTTTACAGCGGAGTTGCGGTGCTTTTTACCGGCATGGTAACGTGTCGGCGGATAATTGAGGTAGAGATCGGAAGATGTCTGATTCTGGATGTTCTCGTAAGGGGGCATGAGCTCCGTCTCATTAATATCTATGGCCCACAGTCCAAGTGGGACAGGAAGAACCTCTTTGCGAGGATTAAACCTTACCTCTTTACATCCCGGCTGGTAGTCTTTGGAGGTGATTTTAACACCATTACTAGGCCCAAGGACAGGAGAGGCTTCACTGACGGGCTGGGATATGATAGCAATTTTCTAAATGCTATAGTCAGGGAGGCAGGTCTGGTTGACGCTTGGATTCAAAGTGTCCCAGACGGCACGGGTTTCACCTTTAGGAGAGGTAATAGCCAGAGTAGGATAGACAGG